TATCGTAGGTTTCCATTCTGACCTGTATGAACATATTATTTCTATATACACATGCTTTTCAACGTATAATACATACATATGAAACAACATATTTTATATACTCACGTGTTCATTGACTTAAACCTTTTGCATATCTTTTTGTGGTACTTCTTCACAAAAACACAACTCTTTCTAGACAGCAACATTTCTTCGACTTTCAATTTAAGCGAAACAACGAAACACTTGTTTACATGCTCAAAAACTCAACACCTGCTAACAAGTCATCAATCACTTAAAATGTAAAACATTGTTATTAAAATAAAAGTGAGCAATGATACAATTTACATTACAATATGTATATCTGGTCTTATTTCAAACAGCAAAACGAATTTAGTTTCAAAAACCTTACAGATGCTAATACATGCCAGTTTTATTACATACATACACATACGTATGTGTGATGTTCGATGTTACGAAATCTGCTTGGAATGTGCTCCGAGTAGTGGAGGGGGTTCGGAGTCCAGAGTGTCTTACAGATTCAGAAGATCGGTATCTGCTGTACAGATTTCGTTACGTAAATGGTATTATCTAGAGTTGTGTAACTACTTGATGAATACGAGATGGAGCCATAGACATTTTCTATTAGAGATGAAAAAGAAACTCGATTCAAGTACAATATTCTCTGGATCGAGAAATGCAGTGACATTTGGGCAATCGGTATCATCCTTAGTTCAGAGAATATTACGAATTGCAATGTGTTTTGCAATGTCGAGGACGATATCGAGCTAATAACTGCAAATTGATATTGATATTTTAAAATCACAGTTGATGTTATTATGCTATGTGTTGCTTATACTTCTACATTATCTCACCTTATAAGCACCAGTGTAAATAAACTTGTTAAATTTTTTATTCTATATTATCAATATCATGAATTTTGATATCAAAACGAGGTGACACTTAACTACATTAAATCAGTATCTTTTTCGACATTTATTGAAATCATTCGAAAGAGGAAGGTTCAATATAGGCGAAGGTGTCAGACTTTCATCGTCAAAAATCATCCAATGGCATAAAACTGCTTGAATTCCATGGTTTCAACACCATCAATTTTTACCTTACTTTCTAAGACTTATATTACCAAATATCTGCATTCGAATGTTACCATTAAACCCATGTTTCATTTTGTTCGTAACCGTCTCCTTTATCTTTATCTCCCCGCTAAGGAATCTAATCCGTTAATCTGTTAAACAAAAGCGACTGTAGGTAATTTGGCTAACAATTTGAGCGTTTTGCCACTACCCCAAAGTGGCGCTGTCGGACCTCGAACTAAGCTTCGCTCGCTCACCACAAGAGGTGCCACAATCGCCCACATAAACATACATACACATACATAGTTTACTTCTTTGACATTCACATACGCTACCGACATTAGCGCCATTCGCCGCCAACCGTTACAACTTGCCTTGAATTGTTGTACATTGTGCATTGTATATTATATTGGATAAAGCCGGTCAAGCACGTGGTCGTTTTTGAATTGTTAGCAAAGTGACGTGATTGAAATAAATACGACTTAGAAAGCATCATGAATTCCGTGATACATCCTAATTTAAACGCAGATGTTTATAGGAATATGACTGCGGCGGACAGGCCAATCGTTCATGACAAGAATTTACAGTTTATTTTGATTCATAATGGTAACATTGATATAGATTAAATGTTTCAGACATTTTGTATTAAAACGTATACAATGTTTCACTTTAAATAATGAAGAGATTACTCTTCGTTTATTCGCTTTGTGGAAAAGTAATGTAGATTTTCTGAATGCATAAATAAATGAATCCACTGTAGTCAGTACTATATTTAAAATAATATATGCTGCAACAGAATCATATGGATTAGTGATTTAAAAAACAATGGACATTAAATTCATGTATTTATGTGTCTACGAAATTATTATACAATCCCACTGACAGAATAATATTCGTTTAAATATGATAATGTTACTGTATCATTTTATTTACAGAAAAGAATGCTGTTCTTGGAGGTAGTAATATGTCAGATCGCTATTGGACTGGTAGTTTGTGGTATTACAATGATATTTCAGACTTTGATAGAACGAAAGCTTTCTTAGCCAGCAAAACAGAAAGTGGCGTGTGCGACGGTGCTTATCTAGAACAGGACAAATTTGTAGTTAGCGAAGATAGTGGAGTCTTGCAGGTGTTAGGTTTAGTTGAAACAACTGATATACATTCACAAGAATTACAGTCTTTAGGATATGCTTGTCTACACGACAATAGCCTTTTAACTCTTTCTGTATTCCAAGACAATACACATTTAGTTACCGGTGGCATGGATTATTGGTAATATACTTAAAATCTTTCATTTCAAGCATATGTAATGGGCTTAATGCAGAAGTATAATCATGTTTTAGCATAAAAGTGTGGGACACAGCAGAATTATTGGCAACACATTCATTTAGTTTTGCACATACGGATATAGTTACTTCTGTAGATGTTCAACCAAAGAGCAGTTCAACATTTGTGTCAACATCATTGGATTGCGAAGCACTAATATGGGATATAAGACAATCAGAGCCAGCTCAAAGTAAATAGTATTTACATCAGTATAGAATAACTATTTTTATATAAATAAAATATGTTATTTATTTTCAAGGTATTTTGAAAAAGGACTTCAGCTTAACAGCTGCAAGTTGGAATTATAGTCTAGATCATCTTATAGCAATAGGTACTGATAATGGAGATGTTATATTAGTTGATATCAGAAAAACAAGTGATTCAGTATTACAAGAGTCAAAAATATTTTCTAAATCAGTTCATAAAGTCTTATTTAATCCAAATCCTGAGAGGTAATATAGACATTCAAATTATAGTGTTATATGGAAACAAATTTAATTAAGTATTTGAAAATTTATTCATTTATTTATATATTGTATTTCTAGATCGGAAGAATTAGCATGCTGCTGTGATGACATTTTAGTGCAAGTACTTGATATAAATAGAAATTTGTCATCGATATACGAAAATGAAAGACATACTGATTTTGTACGTGGGCTAGCTTGGTATAAAGATGAATTATTTTCTTGCTCTTGGGATAATACTGTGAATAAACATACAATACATTCTTGTAACGACCAGTGATTGATATTAGAACATTTTAATTGTACACTATCATTACTTTTTGTGTTCACATGTAAGAAAATAGATTTTTATATATTATTATGTGAGACCAGCTAGGATACGTGCATGGTGGAATTCTACTTCACGTGAAATAAAAAACTTTTCTACAAATATAAGTGTCTCACCTCATAAAGAAAAAGTAGGAAATAATAATTGAGTTAGTTAAAAACAAATTTTTGTTTACTAAAATTAATTTTTCTTCACATGTTTCTTTGATGTCATTGACTGTTTCTTTACGTCTTTATATTAGTCATATTAATAGCATTCCAATGGCTTTTGCTGCAGTTAAATGATAAAATATTTAAGAACAATATATCATAGACAAAAAATGCAGAAAAAGCTTTACCACATTTATTTGCATATTCTTGCGCGATGGTTAAANAACTTTTCTACAAATATAAGTGTCTCACCTCATAAAGAAAAAGTAGGAAATAATAATTGAGTTAGTTAAAAACAAATTTTTGTTTACTAAAATTAATTTTTCTTCACATGTTTCTTTGATGTCATTGACTGTTTCTTTACGTCTTTATATTAGTCATATTAATAGCATTCCAATGGCTTTTGCTGCAGTTAAATGATAAAATATTTAAGAACNCTTCTATACAGTACATAAATGCTGGATACTTCGTTACTTGAAAGATTTGCAACTCTGTTTCTAATAATATTATGAGTTGGTATTTGATATTTAACTATTCATTGTATGAATAAAAGCAGAAAGGTTTTCTCATATTCATTTGATAAAAT